GCGTGGTGCGGGGGCTGCAGGAAGAGGACTGGGGCTGTGACCTGCTGTGCGATGCCCCGCGCGCTGTCCCGTCGGCTAGACCGGTGTTTCTCACCCAGTGGGAGTTTCTCAACCAGCAGGTCGGGCGGGTGGGACGGACTTCAACGCATTGAAAAAAAAAAAATCAAAGTGGTTCGCACTTCCCACAGATGAATCGACAGATCTCCGGAGCAGGGCAAGAACTGGGGGGTTGATTTTATCAGGGTTTTTTGACACATTGGTTGGTGGGACGGAAGTGCAAAAGGTTGAGAGCGCTGGTCCCTCCCAGCTGCGTGGCGCGTGCACACCTGGTCTAGGCCGGCGCTTCCCAAACTCTTCCTTGGCGTGTCTTCCTCAGCGTAGCCCCTCACCTCAACCACCAGCTATCCATCCCCACCGCCCCATCCGCTGATGTTGCCGCCCCACTTGGGGTCCTGACGTGCAGTTTGGGAATGGCTGCTGTAAGATGTCCATCAGGGACGTCCCGTCTGGTCTGTACCTTTCTATACATAACCTCTAGATGACTTGGTCGAGTTCATAGGACTTCCATGAATCTGCACAAAGGCAAATCAGAAGAGGGCGAGGGTACACCTAGGCAGCATCTGTCTACTTTGCTACATCCACCACTATGGTTTTGGAGCACAAATGTCTGATTTCAGCCCTGATCCTGGCAATATGCAAAGGAAAAGCTCTATAGGTAGAAGCAGTTGCACTGAAGTCAGCAGGAGAAAGTTATTCACATGTAAATGGGGCGCAAGCCTGAGTCTTTGCAGGATTAGGGACATCGATTAGACTAAGCCACACAGAAAGTCCATGAGTCCTGAAATCAGATCCAGCCCCTTCATTTCAATGAACCAATGAATCCCACAAGGTCTAGTTGTGGGATTCGGCCCTTGGTTTGTATTCTGTATACACACATGCAACAGCATATTGCTCCCAAAACTTATAATTCTCCTCTGGGAGTCAATGAAACAGCTATCAGCTTCATGCCTTGACCGCCTGATACTAAGGACTTCATTATTTCATTGCCTGTGGGAATGTCCTTTCAATTTAAAATGTTTGTCATAGATTACAGAATTTTTTAACAAACTTGCACACGAAACACTTGCCTTAGATCTTTTTTCCCTGTTTATTTGGTGTGGATTTGGTATGAGCCTCGCTAAGAAATTAAACTTCAACTGCTTGGAAGTAAAGCTTGCATATTTGCAAATTATTCAATGAAGAGGAAAAAAAACTCCCAAATTTGTAATGAATAATAATCAGCCATCTGCAGAGCTGGTTGAATAATAAATATATATATTTGCAAATAGAAAATAGGGTAAAATTAATAACAAGTGATATTTGGAATGAACTGTTTCATCAGGTTTATTTAGAAATGAATAACACCTTTTTATCTTTTAGTAAAAAAAATGCTGTCCCTAATGTATGTATTTCAAGATCTACACCTACCTCAGATACATTGCAGTCAGGGAATTTTAAGATCAGTGACCTTGACTTTATTGTTCTGATTTACAAAGGTGTTAGTCTGCTTAATCCAAGCTTAACAGGCCATTGGTCTAGCATGGGTGAGACACACTGGGCATGTCTACACATATGCTTTAATGTGCAACAGCCTATTTTACCTCACATTAAAAATCATGTAAAAAACCCTGCAATTACACTAATGTGCAGTAAAATAGGCTACTGCGCATAAGCGTCACTTTAAAAATGTGCACTTTTGGTACTACGCAGTAGGGTAGCTGAATGCACATTTATTTAGTGCCTTTCATTGGAGGTATTAAATGTAATTCACATTAGGAGATGCGCATTAATGCACATGAAAACACACTCACTGGGTGCACTAAGTCAACTTAAAATAAGGTGACTTAACTAAGTTGACTTAAATTAAGCCACATCAGAGTGTGCACACTTACAGCTCCTTTACATGGTGACAGCCATCTTGTGAGCTCAGTTGACTTAACTAATGTGACTCAATATACTTCAGAGGTGTATTATCTTGCACCACATTTAAGTCAGCTCTGCTCCGTGTGTGTGTCCTCTCTGACAGTTAAGCAGACTTTAAAAAGCTAAGTCAGCTTAACTGTCAGAAAGTTAGTGTGTGTGTATGCACCCACTGAGGAATGACCTGGCTAAGATTACATCAGCTATCTTTGACTCCTTATCCAGAATGACCAGGTACCCATAAGCAGCTGGAGGTAGCCTTTTACATGACTCCAGAAAACAGCTTTAACTTATGCTTTTGGAACTGAAGCAATGTACTTTAAGTACTCTACCTACCCCTTACTGAAGTATCGGGGTGCCTAAGAGTGTAGTAAAATTTGCAAATGGATCTAAACAGATTAAGCACCCAACTACTAACTAGATACGTACCTGCTTCTGTAGGTGACTAATAGATATCTTTGTAAATACAGGTCTTGATTCAAAGCCAGTTCAAGTCAGTGAAATGACTGACCTAATTTTAATGGAATTTGGAACAGGCCTATATAAGAAATGTGATCAGTTTAATGTGGCTTTGTTTCTTTATGCAGCTTGTTATTTCTGTGTGCCAGACATATAGAATGACCATGCATTTTACACATGAGTAATTTTCATTTCAGAATTAGGAAAACAAAACCAAAAAGAGAAAAAGTAAAGTCTCCATAAGAACATGGTGTCTTTCTTCAAGTTCCTGGACATATGTGCTTAGGTGATCATATCAGCTAAAGAAATGGAAGTTGCTAATCTGCAAGGTAGGGTGAAGCTTGAAGGTGTGCGGGCCGGGCGCGAGCCGGGCCCTTTTTCGTGCTGCACGTGGGCTGTGGCCAGCAGCCCGGGCATGCGGGGTCGGAGAGGGCACGCGTCAAGCTAGAATTAGGCACAGACTCGTAGCGGTAGATTTAAAGATTGTTTACTTACACCGGAGATGGTTGCGGTACAGGCTGGAAAACTTGCTTGAGTTGCAGTTACAGACAAAGACAACACGAATGGTCATGTGGAGTTTGCTAGGCTCCACGGAAACAGAACTCGGGATGCCCTGGACAAGCGCGCCACCAAAATGGAAACTTCGTAAATACGTCTTATAAAGAATTATCGCTCGAAGACAGGAAGAGGTGGGCGATGGATCAGGTCGCCAAACTCCTCTGAATCTCACACAGGGTTTCTATTACCCTGCTGTGTACCCAGAATCCCCACGAGATGGATGTGGAGTCCTCTTCAGCTTGGGCGGAAACCGCTCAAGCCTCTTATACGGCTAACAGGCCAATCGTTAGCCACCACGTGGGAATAATTTAGAACTAGCCAATAAATGGACACAAATTTGCATGCGGGTGGCAGGAACTCCTTTGCGGCGTGCATTTCTCTTGCAACTTGAGCAATGCACCCTGCAAAGAAAGGTGCAAATAGGCGGGAAACTCTTCCTTGCACCGGGGTTCTCCTCTGCAGCAGAAAACTCTACCGTGCAACGAAGCTGCAATTTAGCGGGTATAATTCTAGTGCCGAAGCACACACAAAAAACATACCTTTGGGTTATGACAGAAGGTAAGGTAAAGCTTGAAAATCTCTCTCAAATACCAGGAGGCAAAAATGTAACTGAAATGCATTATTAAGCAAAACAGCCATGTGGTTTTTAAGCCTATCTAATGATTTTGCACAGCCTGACTCATTATTTGTAATACTTTGGGTGAACAATACTGGTACTTCCCCTCTAACTAGCTGCAACAGTTCTGTAATCAAGATTACATTTTAGTAATTTAGGGGTGCAGTACACAGAAAACAAACAACATCACAGTTTCATAACTACAACTAGGCTGATGAAAAAATACATTTTCACTTTAAGGATGATAATAGCATTTTCTTAGCACCTTACAAGATTGGGCCCAAAGGAGGAACAGAATGCATAAGCATAAATCCTGTGTGTGTGCACATGCACGCATGTGTGTGTCTGCATGTGTGTAGCAAGAGAGAAAGTGTCAGAGTTTGGCCCTAATTGGATTTTTCAGTGTCAGGTGTAATTCTTATCATTATTTGTATTCCACATTTATGCATTTTTGGTACAGACACTGTGTTTGCTAAATACTGCATTTCTGAAATTGGAAAAAGCAGATGTACACAGTTTATTTATATTTAAATAGTGTTATGATAGTGTATGCTCCTCAGCTATTTTATTTTTAATACAAAACAACCCTTTTAAAGGTAATATTTATCATTTTTCAGGAATGTAGGGCATTTGAGCAACAGGTACTTTACATTTTGGTTGCAATGCACAGTATTGGTACCTATTTATTCATCAAGGCAGAATTATTTAGAGAATTACTTTGTTCTTTTGTCTTGAATTTTAATTTTGTGTTTATCATTTTGTCTATTTATTA